TTCAGATGTTCCTCTGAGGTAAGCATAAAGATTGCTAGGAGTACTTGCCTTTGTTGGACCTTTCATATTAGGAAGAGGGTAGCACTCCTGCATAGAATGGGTTTCTTCACTTGCTTGGAGAAACAGCGTGTGTTCCCCTGTAACAAATACTCATTCACTGCCAGCAGCTGCAGAGGAAGGCAGAGGTCTGCATTTTTACCCTCCCTGCCTTCCTACAAAGGGCCTCAGCTTTGCTAGCCATGCTGTAGTTTCCTCGCTCAGGTGTACAAGCTGCCTGGTATCAGCTGTGCCTTGCAATGTGAGACCTCCTTGAGCCTATTCCTTGCTTTGCCTGTGTGGTCTAGTAGGTGCAGGAGTAGCTGCTGTACAAAACCTAAGGACAGGCATTAATAAACATATGAGATGTGCCTTCCTTCTTGGGGGAGGAACTTGCTCCAGTGAGAATGTCAGACGTGCTTGGGCAATTTTCAGAACAAACAGCTGTAAATGCCAGAACACTTCTTGGCATCTTCTTTGGACAGTATATCATTACCAGTAAGGGAAAGATACAGTTGGCGTACACACTACAGAGACAAACCATTAATGGCGCTGCACAACTGTCATATAAGAGGCCCAGTCTCACCTGACAGCGGTGTGGAACCCACAAGATAAATCTTCCTGAGTCATTCCCAAAAGAAACATATGCCAGTATGCATGTATCGTATGCTTACAAGGTTGAAGTGGAGCATTAAGCCCTATTGCTGGGGAAGGGAGGAAAAAGGACATCTGTATTCCAACAATTGCCCTCCAAGCTGGAGGGAGACCAAAGAAACTTTAGTCTTCAGTGTATCAAGAGATATGGAAAAACACAGGATAATAGCACTTCAGAATTTGTTGCATCGTGTTTGTGGAGGCTTTAAGAGCAGCAAAATGGGGGCACAGATGCCTTCTGTTCCAAATAATATGCAGTAGCTGCTCCCTTGAAAAGCACAGGACACAGGCAGCAATTGCTATTAAATGAAAAACAGTGGTCGGACTTCAGGCTGAATGAATAAGTTGTAAGTAGGTTTCATGTTAACTGCTTGCAGCGTGTATCTTGTACAGGTACCTATTACAGAACAGGCTGTGGCCTTTGGATGTGTGATGCCTTGAATAAAGGCTGGTGTTGAAAGACTCCACTGTATTTTTGTAGCGCTTAATTTATGCTTGCTTGAGTGACTTTGACACTTTTGGTATGTAAGAAAACCTTGAGCTTTATTAACAGTATGCACAAATAGATAAGAAGCCTTAAGTTCTGCTGAGCTTTGTGATTAAAACCTGCCAGGACCAGCAAATTGGGAAGAAGAGATGAACCACCTGGGATGACCCACACTGCACATGCCTTAAGGGAAAGTTCAATTAGCGGATACCAAGAAGATGACCACCAGAGGGTTTCAAAGACCCCAAAAGACCACCGACCCATTTAATAGTGCATGCCCAAAAGGGCAGACACAATTTAAATATTTTCTGGGAAATAACATGAATATGTACAACAATTCTGGGAAATGTAATGAATATGTATATATTAGAACAATATAAGCTTTGCTTGCTGTAGGTAGTGGTATGCACGCTAGAAGGAACTATCCCCCATGCATCCAGCACTGCAATAAAGAATGCCTGCTTTCTAAAACTCCAAAATTGAGTCTTAGAGAGTTTCTTCAACCAGCTTTTTATGGTAACATGTGCATCATGAGAGAAGTACATGTATGTAGCATACGGCTTACTGCATATATATGGTTACAGCATGTGCATTCTGCACTCATTTATTATGACGCATGTCAAACAAACAGGGCTGGAAACTTCTCTATGGTTGCCTAGCCTTTTCCATGTGAGACCTTATTTTTAGTTGTTCATAAATTTGCTAATGCTTGAGTATTTTCAGAGAAATTTTCTGTCTGAAGTTCATTTTAGGGTAAGAGAAGGAGAGAGGACAGAGGGAAAGAATATTAGCTAGAACAATTGAGTCATGTCTGGAAATCAGCCTTGCAGAAGATGCAGAATATGCTTCCCTGTATTTTTGGCAACCTTTCTTTTAATGATGATGACATCTTATGCTTTGGAACCCTGGATTTCTTATTTGGGGGAAGACGATGCTTTCATGTCAAGAATGTGCATTTTGCTCAACTTACAAAAAGCAGCCCCAAATGTAACCTGGTTCTGTTAGCCTTTGTGAGGGGAAAAAAAAAAGTCACTGTCTATGCCTTGTTAAGATTTGCTAGTGCTTTAAATTCTTCAAAGTTTTGTCTTCTTTAAAGTGGATTTGACCTGCAGCCGCCAGTCTGGACTGTATCCTATCTGGTCTCAGCACTGCAAATGGAAGCAGGGAGCCTTGCCTCTTCCTCCCTTGTGAGCTCAGAAAACGTCGACCTCAATCAGGTTGCCTGATTTGGACCAGAGCAAGATGTGTTGGTGGGGAGAGTGCAAGTGGGAATGGGTCAAGGAGTTTGAAGCAGGAGAGGAAGGTGGCACAAAATGACACTAGGTTAAGAGTGATCACTAGAAACTGAGACTAGATAGTCAAGGACAAGGACTTGAGAAATATGGAAAGAAAGAAATAAAAGAAAAAGAAAAAAGAAAAAGAAAAAATAAAAAGAGGAAAGGAAAGGAAAGGAAAGGAAAGGAAAGGAAAGGAAAGGAAAGGAAAGGAAAGGAAAGGAAAGGAAAGGAAAGGAAAGGAAAGGGAGAAAAGAAAAGAGGAAAAGAAAAGAGAAAGGAAAAGAAAGAAAGAAAAAAGAAAAGGAAAGAAAGAAAAAAGAAAAAAGAAAAAAGAAAAAAGAAAAAGAAAAAGAAAAAAGAAAAGAAGAAGAAGAAATAGAAAAAGATGGTGGAGTTGCTGGGGATAGATGGTGGAGTTACTGGGGAGGGAAACAAAATAGCTCAAGTCAGAGGAAAAATAAGAGGGAAGGCTGGCACAGAAAGTGAGAGATGCAAAGAATATGAAAGAGGTAACAGACGTGGCAAGCAGCTTTGGCTCTAAAAATACTAAAATGGTGAGAGGTGGAAAATTAGGACTTGGGACCCTGCAGGTTGATATATGTGATGAGTGACTCAATGGAGGAAAGCAGGCAAGGAGCCTGGAGGTGGAGAATGGAGATGGGTGACCAGAAACTGAAGAAGATCACATCCCAAATATACGCCTCTGCTCTAATTCTTCTGGCTTACCCTACCATCCAGACCTGTGTCCCCTCGAGGTAACCGCCTCACGTGAAATGCTGTTTTGTAATGTTTTCCCAGACTGCTGGATCTGGAGCATACATGGTGCAGATCATCCCTTGTTCTGACCCTATCTATGCTCCAAGGAGATGCACCAATTTCCACAATTCAAGAAAATACCTACATTTCTAGGTGATGGAGAAACTGTTAGTAGTAAGGCCAGCCTAGAAAAAGCCCTAAGTTTTGTGACGGGAGTGACAACAGAAAAGAGAACAGTATGTTCCCTCATTTTCTAGCACATTACTTATGATGAGGAAAATATGCTTTCATGTTGCTGAGAAATAATCACACTATTTCAAGAGTCAATTTAAAGCTATCCAGTAAGAAGAACAAGAGGCATCAGGCGTGATTTCTTATTGTGAAGGGATCTTTGGCTGAACCTGACGGTCAATAATGACAAATGGCCAGAGGAAGACGAAATTCCCAAACACGTTATGAAGTCCTATCTCAGCAGAGTCTTGATGTATTGTAGCACTTGCCAGCCAACGCATCTTCTTTTACTCTTTGGCAGCCCTCCAAAGGGTATTTTTGTGTGCGTGTCAATAACATACAATTGCGCTCACTTCAAAACCTGACTGCGAGGGCGGTGCTCTGTCAGGGCGCCCGCAGCTCGGGCCGGTGTGCCACCGCAGGGCATTGCGTGGGGGCTAACTGTGGCTCCACAGGCCTTTCTGGACGCTCGAGGAAGGCAAGCTGTAGCACTGTCGGGATGTGTGCGCTGCTCTTGGCTTTCCAGTACAGGGAGGGGCAGGTGCGGCAAGCACACGGACGGCAAATGGCGGTTAGTGCACAGGATGGGCGACGCGGGAGGGTTGGGTGGCCGAGGCTGTGTGTGCTGGCCAACGTTTGGGCATAATACCTACGGGCACTGGCAGCACCCGTGAGGCATCAAGCGCCGTCGTGTTGTGCGGGCAAGGGCAAGGAGAGAGGCGACCACGGCGGCCGGTGTGAGGCGACCACGGCGGCCGGTGTGAGGTGCAGGACTGGGGGAAGGGGGGTCCACGTGTGTGGGCTGCGTGTACCCCATGCAGTGTTTGGGAAGGGTCTCGGGGCCCGCCGCCTGGGAGCGACCAGCACGTACGAGGTGGCTGTGGTACCGGCGGCGGCCCTGTGCCGGCGAGGGGCGAGCGACCCTGGGGCAGCACCTCTGTAGGTGTCAGCGAGCGCCTCAGCGCGGGGCGCGCCAGTCCCGGCGTGAGGGGCACAGCCTTCCCGCTGCGAAGGGTGGGCGAGGGGAGACGGCACCCTCCCCGCCAGAGGGCTGAGGCGAGCCCGGCGGCGGCAGGGGGTAGCCATGCAGGCGCGGAGCGCCGGGGCCGCTCTCCCTGCGGGATGACGCCCGGTGACAGCAACGGCGCCCGCCGCTGGGCGGCCGTTGAGGCGCGTGACGGAAGCCGCGACGAGACCTGCAGTGAGGGCGCGGAGGGAGGAGGAGGAGGAGAAAGAGGAGGAGGAAGAGGAGAGGGGAGCGCGGGGGGGACCCTCGGGTGCCGCCGGGGGGGCCCGCCCCCCCCCGCCCCGCCGCGGCGGTTGCCTTCCCCCCTCCCTCCTCGGGGGCAGTGAGGGCGGAGGCGGCCATTAGGTGTCCGCGCCGATCGCCTGACGGGCCCGCGCGCTCCCCGCCTCCCGCGCGCTCTGCCTGCCTGCCTGTGTGTGTGTGTGTGTGTCCGTGTGTGACAGGAGGAGAGGGCGAGCGCGTGACGCCCTCCGCGCTCCGCCCCCCTCGCTCCCGGCTGCCGGCGCCGCCACCTCGGCCCGGCGCGGGCGGGCGGTGCAAGCGCAGCCATGGAGCAGGAGCGCGAGTGCCGGGTGCTCTCCATCCAGAGCCACGTCGTCCGCGGCTACGTGGGTAACAAGGCGGCCACCTTCCCCTTGCAGGTGAGCGGGGCGGGGACGGGACCTCCGCCGCCGTCCGCCCCCGCCGCTTCCCTTCTGCGTGGGCGGTGAGGGGGAGCTGGGCAGGTGGTGGGACGGCGGGGTCCCGGGGGGGGGCCTCCTGCCGAGCGGGGGGTAAGGTCAGGGGACGGCCGGCAGCAGCCCGCCCGGGCCCCCTCTCCGCCCTCTCGAGTGTCAGAGCGCGGGGCTGGGGCTGGGGCGGGGGGGGAGCTCGGCGGCGGTCACGACCGTCCCGGGTCTCCGCGCACCCCGGCGAGCCGGGGCCGGTGCGGCTGCGCCTTCCTCCGGCTCCGCGCCGCACGGCTGGCGGTTCCCGCTAACGTAATTTCTTCTCGCTGCTGGCTTGGAGCTGTGGAACGGCGAGCGGGCTTAAAAGGGTGGGTGGGGGGGGGGAGGGGAGCGCTTCTGGTGGGTTTACTCGGCTCCGTACCGCCGGCGGCTCTACCTGCGGCCGAGGCGTGTGCTCCGGTATCGGCAGGGCGCTCCTGCTTGAGGGGAGCGGGTGCCGGCGCTGCTGGTCAGAGGGGTAGGCGGCGGGGGTTTGGGTGTCCCGCGGTGGGGACGGGGAGCTGGGCTTGGTGGACGGGTGGCCCTGTGCCCCTGCAAAGCGAAGCCCCTCTGGTCCTCGTGGGCGCTGGAGCTGGGTAAACCCACACCCCTCGGGTGTCTGAGGATCGAGGGAAGCCGTAGTAGAGGATAAGGATCACTTAATGGGTGTAGAAGGCCGTGCCAGAGAAACTAGCTTACATGGCCCCGGGGCTTGAGGGTATAATTGGATCTTGCCTTTATGGCTGTCATGTGCTGACCCCAGAGTTGCTTGCTGAGGTCTAGCTGACGGTGGGAAAACATCGGTGTGCTTTGGGGCGAGCCTTTGTGTGTCTCGCTGTTCTCTCTTGTGAAGTGTCTGTACCGTAAGGGGCTAATTTGGGGCCTTACCGTCAAGAAGTCTTTGTTCCTCGACACGCGTGTGGCTGTATGAAGCTTGCTGTCTAAGAATCTCACTGCCAGAACACAGTGTCACAGTTGTGACATTGGTTATCTTGGTACATGCTTAACAAACGATGGTGTAATCTCACTTGACGTGAGAGATGGTGTACTCTGATAAATCATGCGCTTGAGACCAGCCCTGCAACGGGCCAACATCACACACCCTTATCACCATCCAATTATGTAATCAAGTCTCTTGAAAATTAGTACGTGGTGAAGGGCTACGTACTTATGAAATCCATGTATTGTGGAAAAATCTGTGCATGTGCAGACCCATGCCTGAAAGGCTGTCATGATCTGTAGGCCGACTGTCCCTCCTTTCCTAACGGAATGATTTCTAAATTGTGCCCCCCCTGCCTCACCTTCCCCAGCTATTTGTGTGCCCCCTTCTGCTACCACAAAGTAGTACTTACTCCAGAAATCTCCAGTCTCTTAAACTGTTTTCTTCGTTTTAATTCTGTGCCAAAGGTTCCCTTTACTCTTCTGTAACTCAACCTTTCTGTGGGATATGAGCCTCTCTATGGGTGTCTTGTATGACTTGGCAAATTGGTTCCTGGAAAAGTGTCTTTAGTTCCTTGACTATGACACTATAAAATACTACTGTAGTTAAAAAGTCCTATTGATGTCGTAGCTGGGTTCTGTTTAGGAGGCTATCACGCTCGAACTGTGTAATGTTCCTCAGTGTATAGCGTAACAAGAAGTTGCTGAGGTGGGAGGAAAAAAGATAGTTGGGCAACCACTGAACTCCTATCACTATAGACTGCACTTGAAAATCCTATGTAGGCAACCCTTAATGAAGCTGTGCTTGCTAGAAAGTTTTTTAAACCCTGGTTTTGCTAGAACATCAGATGTAGCAAATTGCCACCAAGTGAAACTTTTCCTTTTTTATGTTTTCTTGAAACAAGGAAAGGAATTACAAACCCAAGTATTTACCTTTTTATATATATATTAAAAAAAATGAAACCTGATGCTAGTCTTGAGGATGGGTGCAAATCTGGCATGCTTACATTATTTCCAATTCTCTTTTTTACTTTGGTCTTCTGAACCAATAATGGTTAAATGAGGCTTCCTTCTGAGCACATCAGTGCATCTTGCACAAAGCAAGATGTATATAGATATGTGTACATGTGTGTGCATGTGAGGTCTGATGGGCTGAAATCCTGATAGAACAGTTCAGGAATCTGCATTTGGACAGCAGCATCCAAATGGAAAACCTGAGTTGGTTTCACCTGCTGTGTGCAGACTTCTGCAAAAACATCAGTCATGTTTGAATGACTTGATCTTTGGTGGAAGTCTATGACATTATTATGTTTAGAAATAGCCAGTGTAGCAATGTGCACAGCAAAGAACTCTTTAATGTCTTTTTTTAATCAGTCGGTTTTGCTTTCTCAGGCTTCCATTACACTAAAAGCTAGAGTATTTAAAAAGTAGGTGTGTGGAAAGACTTTCCCTGTGAAGTATGTGGTAAATGCTTTCTGTATAGCAAACACAGCAAAAGAGAGTTAGACCATATATTAGAGCAGTTATTGTAACGGAAGTAATATAGCTGAGTGAGAAGTGTTAGAACCCTTAACACCATTTCAGGTTAAAATACATTTGTTTAATTAGTTTGAGAGTCTAGTTTAACTAATAGGTCTTAGTGGAAATGTGCACCTGGATTTTCCAGGTAGTAAAATGCCAGGAAGTGAACTGTCCTCAGCTGTGCTTTGAATTCTGCCTTGTCAAGAGTTTAAATAGTTTTTACTTGCATGGTTTTACTATCTCTTTAAAAGTTCTGAAGGTTGTTCTGAATTATTTTTAAAGTAGTTGTAAGTTATTACACAATCGTGTAACCTGAGCAGCTTTTGGTATCAGGAAATGGTTTAGGATTGCCCAGCGTTTAAGAGAGGAAGGGTGATAGGGTGTACGTTAATTTAGGGAGTTGCTGCTGTCAGTCAGATAAATTATTTTAAAATGCCAAAGAATGCTTCTCCTACTGGCGTAAGAGTTGTCATAGTTTTTATGTTATAAAATAGAAATGTATGTTTTCAACATGCCATTCAACATTACTTTTATCATATGTGTTTTCTTCCTTAGAGGAATCTCTTATTTGTTAATTTTAAATATAATTTTAACTTACCTCTCCTACCTGACCTTCTAGGTAGGTAGGAATGTGGGTAGAATGTGGCAGTAAGTGAAGGGTGCAGTACTGGCAAGCAGAGAGCTGCAGTCCTCCTCAAACCACAGAGTGCATACACAAGGGCAAGCTCATTTCTGTTCTGTAGAAGTACTTAATTCTGACCATCAGGAAAATTTTGGTAGGCAGATTAATTTAAGATTCATATACTACACCCATCATAACATCAGCTCTTGCGAATGAGTATTTCAGTCTGTATGTTCAGTCCTTTGGGTCTCTGAGTTTCCAAGAAAGAGGTTTGAAAGTGCAAGAAGGGGCAGGAGAAGCTCCCAGCCTATTTCACCTGGGCACCGGACATTAGCATTTGGTTGCCACTGGACTAGGTTATACTCCTGTCTGCAAGCCAGAGACTGTTGATCTTTGCTTGTGTATAGGTAAGAATGAGATCCAGAGAGTTTTGTACTTTCTGTTCTTACCTTTGTTTGATAATGCTAATGGAACATGGTTATTGGTTTTTTTGTCTGCCTTTAACACAGAATTGGAGAAAACCTTGTCTCTGTTTTGAGTATTTAATTCTTGATTTCCTTTTATATCTGCTTACCTTGAAGATGGACCTAAAAGCATGAACAAATACCATTAATCATTTGGGTCTGGAGAATGAAATTATCCGCTCTGAATTGTAGGACACCACCATAACAGCTTCTACAATGCTGGCTAAGATGGTGTTTTGAAATTGGTTCAATGATTTTCTTTTTTTTTTCTTTTTTTCTTTTTTCCCCCTTCATGAATGGAAATAGTTGTCTAATCAGGTATTAATAAGGGTAGGTGAGTCTCATTCTTAGACTAGTCCTCAGTGATTCTCTTCTGCAAAAAAACCAGTAAGGCTACATTTTTAACTTCTTTTTAATTGTATAAAAGATGGGGAAAACAACTTTGGCCAGCACAGATGGTAATTTCTGTAATATTTAAGGATAGTCTTGAACTGCGTTGTTCGGCCAAGGGTATAATTTGCTTTCATATGCTGAGACCAAAACCATTATCAACCTATCTTTAATGATTATCTGCTGACCTAACAAACAATTTAAGGCTGTTTTTCTTTCTTTTGTTGAACAATGTAGTCAAACGGAGTAAGTGTTGTACAGTAAGAGGTAGATAAAGAGCATCTCTTTTTTTAAGGTGATTGACGGTTCTGTTTTTCAAAAACTACTTCTTTTGTGTTATTTATGAGTCAGAAGAAGGATGAATCAATCAAAAGTCTTTACAGAATAACAGTAAGAGATGTTGCTGCTGGCTAGCTTTATTTTTTGTTATAGATCAAAGGCTGAAAAAAGCCTAACCCTTAAAAAAAAAAAAGAAGATAAAAGAATGTATTTTCTCTTTGTAATATTCAAAGGTTGTCCTAAATTATATATCTGAAACAAGAATTGTGGCTGTAGATTCATACTTAAAATGAAGCTTGCAGAAGTGTGGTTTTCTTCCCTGCCTCTGTTTTTATTCTTTTAAGCAAGGTAAACAAGGGACACATGAGTAAAAAAAAAACAAAACCAAAAAACCCCAACCCCAAAACAAACAAAAAACCTGCAACCCCTCTGGGAAGGCTTATTCATAGCTATGTAAACAGCATTTTCTGGTTATGAGGATGCCAGTATATGTAGTTGCAGAAGTCTGGTGAATACCATGTGCAAGGTGAGGCCCTGAAAACAACTTGTAATCCAAAAGGTCCTAACAAGGTGGTTCTTAGCAGTCTGGATGTCTAGGAAAAGGCTTTACCAGAACTTTCTAGAAGTGCTTGTCTAGATTAACCCACTTATGAAGAAAGGATGGCTCTGGCCCTCTAGGAGCTCTGATGCACTGTGAGAACTTTAAACTTCTGAGGAGA